AATTATATAAATTTCGGATTGGATTTGTTTAAATTGTTTGTGAATTGTACTAAACTTTATTTCATTGAAATTTTACTTGGAAAACAGGAGCGCCTTAGTGGTCATGGCAGCTTGGGCCTTTCCAGCAGCAGTCCGGCATATACAACTCATTCAGGTGGGCATTCGGGTCGAGGTCCCGCATCCGGACACAGTGGACATAGTGGTACCCATGGGTCGGCAGCAACCATGCATCACCAATCATTGCAGTCTGATTTTCAGCCCCCGTATTTTCCACCACCTTTTCATCACTCTGCTCAGAGCCCTCCTCAGCAACAGGTAAGTGCTCCAAATTGGACGGCGTACCAGTTGGACGTATCATTGCCAAAATAGTTTAGATATCTGGCTATTTACAGAATCACGGACCGTTGGAGTATTTAGGCACGGATCCCTACGGCCAGCCGCTATCCTCTTTGCACCACGCTCCACTTCATCACTACAACCAGTTGGCTGGCCTCAGGTCGACACAAGATCAACTAGGTATTCATAGGACTCATAGGGAAGACTTGCAAGGACATGTTGTAAGTATTAAGAGTAAAACATACTATAAGCTAATGTGCCCCAATCAAGTGTCAGTCATATCAACTAATTATTTTTCGTTCTCATATACATAAAGCTTCAAGTTTATTTTAAATATGTTACATATTATTTATTAGCTGTGCATCTCTTATAGGATCCACGAGCTTCATCATATGTATATTTGTAGGCAGCTTTTTTATTCGAGCTTGATAAATACTTCAGTTTATAGCTATGTAAATATACTGAGGGCTAAGCAGCTTAAAACCTCTTCAATCTACATGAATTGCCAGAGTTATGGCATTTCGAATTCCAGTTAAGTGCATTATGAAATAGAACGCAACAAAAGCTAAGAAGTATTTTAAAAATTTCCTTGGGATTTCACTGAAACATCTTGAAAATAACAACGAACATTCCTGTCCCAAAAGAAAAAGGGTTTACATAAATACATATACACATACCCACGAATTTATGTAAGAATATA